TAATAGTATCTTATTATGAAGAAATAACTCGAAAGTTTGGCAACTGAGAGTTTTTTTCTTATCGTTTAAATATTTTAGATCCTATTCCGCAACTCTTAATGACAATGTCAGTGTATCGTTATATTGTCGCTGCGTAATTTTTTTTACCATGTAATAAAATCTGTGCAACGACATTAACATCGTCGTTAAGAATTAAAGAATAAGGGACTTTCACATAAATTTCACATGAAATGAGTTCCACTTCAGTTTGAGATACGCAGTTTAAGAATTTAGTTGTAAACATTTTAACGTGAGAAACTGAAGATTTATCGAAAAGAGTAGTTTTCCTTGATATTTTCGTGAGAAAATCTGCTTTCGCCACCACGAAATAGCACGTATGCATGGAGAGTGGCTCACTAAGGCCAGAGGCTGGGGTGGTTAAGATCTGGAGCACTCTATATATGTGGAGTATATATTGCCTTCGCAGAATTGCCCTCTGAGATGCCGTCGATACAGGGACTAAAGAGGAAATACCGCGTCGACGATCCGCTACGTTTGAACTGCACATCCGGCCGGAGCAAACCCGCCGCGAATCTCACTTGGTATATCAACGATCGACAGGTATGCTCTAACTGCTAATGATAGTAATGCGCGCGCGGTTAGACGAGAGGATAGACGGACGGAAAGGAATGGGAGAGAAGGATCAGATACCTCTATTTAGTTTATCCCACGTTTGATCCATTATCCCTGATCAAACGTCAGAGACAAGGGAGCTTATGGGATACGTTCCTCTTCGAGATGTTCCAAAGTTCGAGCGAGCAGCATCCGCAGTGCGGAAAATAATTTAATATTCCGATTCTCAATTAGCGTATAATATTATAACGTAAATGTCTCTTAATTAAGGCTCGATTGAGACAATGTTCGAAAAATTGTTAAATCTTTGTGTGTATCTCTATATATCTAAGTAATTAAATTTTTTTCGAGTAATTATTTAAGCAATTAAATTTGCTGCTTTAATAAAACGTCATAATAATAAAATCATAAATTAAACGATAAAATGCTAAAATGCTTTAATACTAGTATATATTTTAAAGTCGTGTTTTTACAAAACGCGTCGCATTTGCAATGCTCAAAATAGTTTCCTTAATCACCTTACTTCAACGCACCTCTACGTAAATTATTTCACGTACTAGGCATGATTGTCGGAAAATTGAAATCGCCGTACTACCGAGAATTTATATAACAGCAGCATTTAATGACATATGAAGCAGCGCGAATATACTATTTTATCCTTATATCACAATATCAATATTTGTTTTATCTCTTAACAAGCTATTATACTATCGTTAACTCATCACGGCCATCAAATAATGAAACCTAATTAACTTTCTAAAATTAAATATATATTCGAAATTATTTACTGCTATATCAGAATATATATATACGGCTCTGATATACATATTACGATTATAAATTAATAACCTTTCCACATTATCTATATTACATTTATATGCTGTACATATTTACAGAGAATAGATAAAATAATGTAAACACCTGGGAAATTTACACATTTATTTTATCACTTGTTTTGTTAATAAGAGAGTGGCTCATTATTTGCTTTTAATACACATTCTGTTCTTGTTGGAACAATCACTCAATGCTTAAATAGTTACCAATAGATAGATGTATTATTTTTTAGAACATCTCTCAATTGCTTATATAAATCAATTGGAGAAGGAAATTTTCTTCTCCAATCTATATTTTCCAAAATTACCTTTCTTCAAAACTTCTTTCCTGGCCAATCACCTGCTTCGAATATTATCTGTAATTTTGAAGAGCAGAGTGAGAAACAGATTTCCTCCTCCCGATATCTTTTAAGCAATTAGAAGATGTTCTGCCTAAAGGTATAATAACACTGTTACTATTCGAGCATGTACGACACTATTTCAACAAGAATTGAGACTCTGCATTAAAGATAAATGGTAAACTAAGTTCTTATTAATAAAGCAAGTAGATAGTACGTTTCTCAGGTGTTGGCGCATTATATAACTGTAACACATATTTAGCGAAGTTTTGCGTAAATCCGTTGACACTAATTTCTATCTTTTCTGTTTCTTGTCTCCCTTCAGCCTCTCAAAGCGCACGTTCGCACGTACAGCCCACTCGACACGAACGAATCGGAGTGGCAGATCTCGCAAATTGGGCTCCAGTTCCTGGTTTCGCACGATCACTTCGTGAGCGGCAAGCTGAAGATACGTTGCAGCGCGTCGATATACGATATTTATTGGCAGAGCACAGAAGTTAGCGCCGAGGAGGATCGGCCGCGAGTGATACATTACGAGCCTGCCGCGACTATCGTCGGTATCAACTACCTCCAGCCACCGCCAAATTTTCAGACCGGCCAGAAGAAACCTGACGGGCAGGTTGGAGTAAAAGGTAACGTTTCTTCACTTTTTGCCGCCGCAATATACTTCATTGACTGTTATAAGAGGTACATAAATCATAACTCCATGATAGTGAAGCATCAATTTACGGATAAATTGTAAAATGCCGAGAGAATACGTAAGAATTTAAAATGTGTATGCATATGTATATTACTATAGAGGAAAGCCCCCTATTATGAGATCGGCCCCTAATATGAGATAGTGGTGTTTCTGCTAAACTAATAGACGCTATCTATTGATTCCACCATGAATTTATTGCTCTTGGATTGAAAACTGTTTAGTAGAAAATTCATTATTAGATCATGCTTGTAGTCATTGTAAAACAAGATTTTAGAATTTGGATGTCTTCAAGTTTCATTGAGATGAGCCTTTAAACATTGTTTATTATTTAATAAATAAATATTCGGCAATAAATTCTTTATGTAGTAATAGAGTAAGGTCGTACTAATAGAAAAATACAGGATATGTTGAATTGCTTAATTACAGAAGTTAGATTTGATCGTAAAACCGTAAGGCGTGGAAATCGTAATATGGGATACCCAGGATATTTCTAATATGAAATAATCTATGCTCTTATAGTGAAAATCGTTAAAAATTATTAAAGTATAAATGTTATTATACAATAGAAAGGACAACCGGAACGTCGAGTGCCTACTTCTGCGATGCTTGATTTCAACTGTAGATGAGTTTTAGATATAATGTATCGCTCATTTTTCGCGCACCCTGGCTGTGTTTGTATTTAAGAAACATTAAATAAAGTTTTTTGGTTACAATACTGATATTCTTTGCGTTTTAATATTGATTTCTTAGGGTATCTCACATTAGGAGTACAATTTTTTGACTTTGCGGTTTGCTCACTCTTTACATTTCTTCAATTTAAAAAAAAAAATGGAATTTAAATTAAATTTTATATAACATTATCTTAAAGTTTATTAATTCCCTTAAAAATGACCTATTATTTTTTTTTAATTCTGTCTGTAAACTTTTGGCATTTACCCAAAATAAACTCGGTATCTCATAATAGGGGACTTTCTTCTATGACTTTATTTTCTAAAATTTTCAGAGTGAATCTCACTCTAAAAAGTAAAATCTCACTCTTAAAGATTGAAAATTGAATTATTATTTTTCAAGACTGTGGCTCAATTTTTACTCTTTAGAGTGAGATTCTATTCTAAAGAATTTAAAGAATATATTATATTATAATTTATGTTTATATACATATTATAATTTATGTTTATGTCAATTCATGTGGTGAGTAAGTATGCCGAGTCTCAGACTCCATTTTCAAAAATTTAACTTGCATTTATTGCTTCTGCTTCTGTTTTGTCGTTATTTCTATTTCTGTTTCTATTTATAAATAATTATCGTTTTAAATATGAGAAATTATTTATGTCTAAACTCTATCTAGATAGAGAGAAACATAATACACACACACACACACACACACACACACACACACACACACAACATGTAGAAATAAATTACCAACTCGATTCAATTATTTGCATGTATTCATTATTTCAAGGAAACATAATCCTCGTAAATACATTACTGCTATCCATTATGTCTTCAATTATTTATCGAAATTCGAGACACTTCGAGAATTTAGACGCGGACCAGCTGCGGATTTATTTGCTTAGAGAGAGTTTAATTTGTTTTTTGTGCTCGAACAATATCCGGCCAACTCGATGAGCCCTTTGACCTCCTTAGGCTTAGGCGTTTACTTTGAAACAACACAGTCGGGGCATTCAGAAAGCCACGCCGTTGAGCCGCGATCTAAATCCCTCCGCTCGTACGACTCAATTCCTTGAGAAAGAAAAACACAAACAAGAAATGGGAGATTGTATTATTAGAGCATCTCGTTCGATAATTTTTCAGTGCTGGGGTCCTCCACGGTGAGCCTGCGGCCGTCAGCGAGGATCGTTTTGGAATTGTTTGCGCTTCTTCTAATCGTCATTCGTTAAAGGCATATAGTGCATCGTTCGAGAAACGCGCTTTGGAACACTGCGTACGTTGACGTGTTTGTAAGAAGAGGAGAAGGAGGAGGTGGAGGAGGAGGAGGAGGAGGAGGAGGATGAGGAGATGGAGGAGAAGAAGAAGGAAGAGACTGGCGGAGGGCTCGAGAGGCGCTTTGTGCGATGATGACGTTTCCTCTATGGGATCGCCTCGGATCACCACGCAGCAGTAATATCCAACCGGAGCGAACACAGGAAACTCCTTGGGTCACGTCACGGCGATGAAACCTGAAAGGCTTGTTCGAATGGTAGAGGAATGGAAGTGACGGGACGCAACCGATAGTTCGATCGGCTTCGGACGACTAGAAAAGGCCGAAGAAAAAAAAAGAATCGTGTACGAAGGGCGAACTCCAGCGAGATGATTTATCCGACGTTTACTCATCCGACGATCAACGAAATGTCCAAAATGCACTACAGCGACGACAGACGCGGCTGGATATATATACTCGCGATATATATTCAGGAATTATTTTATTATTATTAGACCATGTACTCTTGCTTCCTTCCAGCGGGAATAATGTGTTTGCAATGTGTAGGTATACGTATACATACATATAGTACGTTTCATCGCATCGTATGAGAAGATAGTTTTTTTTTCGTACTTTTATAACTCAGAAGGAGACTATAACGTAGCATGAATGTACGTGCGTATTCCTCGACAGCGTAAAGATACATATACATGGAATTCAAACATATACCAAACATAAATGCGTATAACACGACAGATATGAATATATAAAATCGCTCGATTATATACATACATGTATACACATATTTATTCACATAGACACGCATACACACACATACACGCGCGCGCGCGCGCGCGCGCGCACGCACACACACACACACACAC